TACTATTGTTACACAATTTATTAACATACTCTTTTTTAGATTCTTTTGATAACGATAGCAGAAAATAGCTATCGAAACGCCAAGGTAATTTTTCAAATTAATTTCTCTACTAATTGGAATTTTCTCTCACAGCTTGAGTCTCAGGGTGTCGCAGGATACCCTCTATGTGATAGTTCTTGATCACTTTTTGATAAATAATTCGTTCTTATTGCGAAATAGGAGCACTATTTATCAATCTGTAATAAAAGACGTGAGGAAATGTCCTTTAAAGACAACAATTTTTGAGACGAAATATCCAAAAAGAAGTTTGTAAAAAAATTCTCATGGATCGAGTCGAAAACGTCGTGCTATTCAAATACTGTGAAAAAGCAGTTGAATTTCACATCGAAAATAACAAATATGGAACCTTCCAGGCCTCAAAAGTAAATCATACACAAATATGGCCAGATGCAGACAATGGATGCATGCAGAGAAGTTGGGTGAAGAAGAATTGAAAAGAAATGTACAAAGGCGAGACAATTATGAATATGCAGGAGAACAAAGGAAAATTGTCTGCAAGAGCAACTTCAAGCGAAGACTGGCGAAGCAGGACTAGGAATTAAAACAACAGCGATTATAAAAAGAAACAGTTTATTCAAACAAAACCCTTCAATGAATTGCTCATCTTTACATAAGTTTCCAAACAATTCAAGTATCTACAAACGGTTGAATTTAGTTTAGTGAAAGAAGCCGTTAAACCGGATGATATCTCAATAACGTCCAGTTACATCTAGTAATAATATATCTAAGGTAAGGAAACACAATCACCCCGAGCTCTAGGTGGCGGGTTGATTGATGTTGTTCTTCGTCTCATAGTCCAAGACTTCGTCCATATTCAGGATATTGAACTCCAAAACGCCCTCGCCAGCAAACTGAGCGAATTGCTTCTGATCTTCCGCACTGGCAGAACGTTTCACCACTGCAATTAGTTCAATGCTTAAATCGCCCTCTTAACGATTAACCGAAAACTTACCGCCGCCGACAAATTTCTCCAGCTTGTAGATGGGCATCGACTGGCATTCGGAGTTGATGTAAACACCAATATCGGAAGTGTCGCTCAAAGGAGGCGTGACCACTCGCATGGTTTCCCTGATCACTTCCGTGTTCACCCTGTAGTAACCATCCCACATTTTATGCACCAAATCGAACAGCGAATTGGGTGGCAGCACTTTGTCTCGGTTCAGCGGCATTACGAAGCACCGGCCCCCTAAATCCCAAAGAGTTAAACTTCGCCGGTTATTTGCTGGAAACTGACGAGTTTCATTTTTCATTAGATTGTTTCAAAGACCAGCGTAAAACCTCAAAAAACGTACAAAGGCCCGCGCAAATGTTAACGATAAACCTGACCTGTAACATCCAAAATGCCCGTGTAGTTGGTGTTAAAGTCGTGGATAAAACGGCCAGTGCGGCCGTTTTTGAAATTGGGAACATCGATTTTCTCCAGGTCGTTTACAGTGTCGATATCCACGTTTTCCTGGAAATAGTCATCGGCCTCCTTGCTCCAGCGGTCGTCGCCGTTCCTAACAAAAAAAACCAGAAGATTCATTGGCTTAGTGTAAGTAAACACTCTATTAGCCGCGTACTTGAACATGCTCGCATAGGGGTCTTCTTCGCTGGTTCCATAATCGCTGTCGATGGTCGCAGGCCTGGAACATGCAGCGTTAGTTAGCTGTAAATTTAGGGTTTGATCGAAATTTACTTGGGTATGCTGACCCAACCGCGGGCTGTTGAATACGATGGTCGGGAAAGCACTCTGATGTACTCATTGTAGATCATTCTGCCCCCAACAATTCCCACACTGGCTCCTGCTAGCGCGACAACCAGCAGCCACAGCAGAGTGGTCGAAGTAACGCGTCTGGCATGTCCTGGTAAGATAATAATGCGACGATGATGAGTCTGCGCTTCTACATCAGGACCTCCAATATGTTTCTAGAAGGGACAGAATAGAAGTTGGACCAATCAAGAGATTTTTTCCAAAAAATCATGATTTTTTTGATTTTTATTAAATCAATTGATAAATCCGCTTAATT